ATAAATTGTTGTTCCCTTTGAAATTCGGAATTCTTGCATTTGTCCTGATGGGTGCAAGATGAGACGTTTCAACAGCAATTCTCCCCTTTCAGAAATATATATATATAGTATATAATTTTCTGGTATTGGTTCATTCCTTACCTTCATGAATTTAAAGTTTCCATGTACTTAGGCCTGGGGTAAGTACATTAGGACCTGTGGCAGAGCTGACAACAGAGTGAAGAGTTTCCCAATGGTCAACAGTCCAGTCCTCCTAACTTATTCATAAACATCGCACATTTGTCCCATGGGTGGTGCGCAGTTACTTGAAGTCCTTATTTTTGAACAAGGAAGAAGTTTGCAATGACCTTACTGCATCCTGGAAGCATTTACCTGGAAAATGGACGAAGAAACCGGCAGATCCTCTGGCACTTCGGCAGTGAATGGGAGGTTTTGGAAAATTGGGTCATTGTCATTGAGATCCAGCAGGTTCACAGTAACGACGGTGCTGCTGCTAGCTTGTAGGGGAGGCCTCCCACCTGCAACAGGATAATTGGGTAAGGCAACAGAGAACACAAGGAGATAGTAAGAACTGCAGATGCTGGAGTCAGAGATAACACAGCGTGATGCTGGAGGAGCACAGCAGGCCAGGCAGCATCAGAGGAGCAGAAAAGCTGATGTTTCGGGGTGGGATCTTTCTTCAGAAAAAGAAGACCCTTTCTGAAGAAGGGTCCTGACCCGAAACGTCAGCTTTCCTGCTCCTCTGATGCTGCCTGGCCTGCTGTGTTCATCCAGCTCCACACTGTGTTATTAGAGAACACAAGGTCATAGAAACATCAAAACACAGAAAGTATGAACTGAATAGGCCATTTGGCCTTCCAGCCTGCTGCAACATTCAAAATGATCATGGCCGATCATCCGAGTCTCCTGTTCCTCCTTTGTCCCAATGCCCTTTGATTCCTTTAGCCCTAAGAACTATATCTATTTCCTTCTTGAAAACATTAATGTTTGGCATTCAACCACTTTCCACAAGTACACTATTCTCCAGGTGAAGGCATTTTTCCTTACCTCAGTCCTGAATGGCTGATTCTCTATTCTTAAACTGTGACACCCAGTTCTGGATTCCCCAGTCACCAGGAACATCCTCCCTGTCTTTACCCTGTCTAGTCTAAAAGACTCTTCTAGACATCAAGAAACAGTCACCGGTGCAGACTATTGTGCCCCTCAAGCCTGCTCCACCACCTAACAAGCTCAAGGCTGACTTTCTCCCTCCATTTCACCTTCCTGCATTCTCCGCACATTCCTTGATTCCCTTGGTATCTAAACATCCGTTAACTTCTGTCCGAAATACATCCGAGGAATGAGCATCCACAGCCATCTGGGATAGAGAGAATCACAGAATCCCTATGGTGTGGAGAAAGGCCACTTGGCCCATTGGGTCCCGCAGACCTTCTGAAGATCATTCCACCCAGACCTCCCGTCCCCTTACCCTATCTCTGTGACCCTGCATTTCCCATCACTAACCCACCTAGCCTGCTCATTCCTGCACTCGACAGGGCAATTTAGCACGGCCAATCCACCTATTGGATCGCATCTTTGGACTGTGGGAGGAAACCGGAGCACCCGGAGGAAACCCATCAGACACGGGGAGAATGTGCAAACTCCACGCAGTCAGTCGCCCGAGGGTGGAATTGAACCCGGGTCCCTGGACCACTGAGCCACTGTGCTGCCCAGAGATCCAAAGAGTCACAACCTTGCAAATGAGGATATTTCTCCCCATTTCCGTTTGAAATGGTGAAAAGCCTTCACAGTTTAGCATATATAAATTGTCTTATGTAATAAAGGGGATGTTGGTTAGGGCTGCATAGTTTGCTTTTGTCCTAATTCGCAAAACTACTTGGAAATAGTTGATGGCAAAAAAACTCACTTCTTACAGATCGGTGCCACACCTCATCTCCTGGAATCATCGATGTGAGAACATACAAATTAGGAGCAGGAGTAGGCCAATCGGCCCCTCTGGCCTGGCACACCATTCAATAAGGTCGTGGCTGACCTGATTATGTCATGTTCCCCCTGATCCTCGATAACCTTTCACCCTCCCCCTTATCTGCCAAATGGAAGTCCTCCAATTGCTGTGCAGGCAGGCCTGGCAGACATTTTGTGCTCAGAAAGATCCCACAAGCAATGAAATAACAAGGTGTAGACCTGGATGAACACAGCAGGCCAAGCAGCATCATAGGAGCAGGAAGGCTGACACTTCAGGCGTAGACCCTTCTTCAGAAATGGGGGAGGGGAAGGGGTTTCTGAAATAAATAGGGAGAGAAGGGGAGGCAGATAGATGATGGATAGAGGAGAAGATAGGTGGAGAGAAGACAGACAGATCAAAGAGGCGGGGATGGAGCCAGTAAAGGTGAGTTTAGGTGGGGAGTTAGGGAGGGGATAGGTCAGTCCAGGGAGGATGGACAGGTCAAGGGGGCAGGATAAGGTTCGTAGGTAGGAGATGGGGGTGGGGCTTGAGGTGGGAGAAGGGGATAGGTGGAAGGAAGAACAGGTTAGGCAGGCAGGGACAAGCTGGGCTGGTTTTGGGATGCGGTAGAGGGAGGGGAGATTTTGAAGCTTGTGAAATCCACATTGATACCATTGGGTTGCAGGGTTCCCAAGCGGAATATGAGGTGCTGTTCCTGCAACCTTCCGGTGGAATCGTTGTGGTACTGCAGGAGGCCCAGAATGGACATGTCGTCTGAGGAATGGGAGGGGGAGTTGAAATGGTTTGCGACTGGGAGGTGCAGTTGTTTAGAACGAACCAAGCGTAGGTGTTCCGCAAAGTGGTCCCCAAGCCTCTGCTTGGTTTCCCCGATGTAGAGGAGGCCACAACGGGAACAGCGGATACAGTATACCACATTAGCAGATGTGCAGGTGAATATCTGCTTGATGTGGAAAGTCTTCTTGGGGCGTGGGATGGGGGTGAGAGGGGAGGTGTAGGGGCAGGTGTAGCACTTCCTGCGGTTGCAGGGAAAAGTGCCGGGTGTGGTGGGGCTGGAGGGGAGTATGGAGCAGACAAGGGAGTCCCGGAGAGGGTGGTCCCTCCGGAAAGCAGATAAGAGTGGGGAGGGAAAAATGTCTTTGGTGGTGGGGTCGGATTGCAGGTGGTGGAAGTGTCGGAGGATGATGCGTTGGATTTGGAGGTTGGTGGGGTGGTACGTGAGGACGAGGGGGATTCTGTTTTGGTTGTTATTGCGGGGAGGGGGTGTGAGGGATGAGTTGCGAGAAATGCGGGAGACACGGTCGAGGGCGTACTCGACCACTGAGGGGGGGAAGTTGCGCTCCTTGAAAAACGAGGACATTCGAGATGTTCGGGAGTGGAATGCCTCATCGGGAGCACATGCGGCGGAGGTGAAGGAATTGGGAATAGGGGATGTCATTTTTGCAGGAAGGTGTGTGGGAGAAGGTGTATTCTAGGTAGCTGTGGGAGTCAGTGGGCTTGAAATGGATATCGGTTTCCAGGTTGCCAGAGATGGAAACAGAGAGGTCCAGGAAGGAGAGAGAGGTATCAGAGATGTCCAGGTGAACTTAAGGTTGGGGTGGAAGTTGTCGGTGAAGTGGATGAACTGTTCGAGCTCCTCGTGGGAGCACGAGGCGGCACCAATACAGTCATCAATGTAACGGAGGAAGAGGTGGGGTTTAGGGCCCACCGGAGGAAACCCACACAGACACGGGGAGAATGTGCAAACTCCACACAGACAGTCGCCCGAGGGTGGAACCAAACCCAGGTCCCTGGTGCTGTGAGACAGCAGTGCTAACCACTGAGCCACTGTGCTGCCCTATATCAACCGCGTTACTTTGGGTCTGGAGTCACACGAAGGCCTCAACAGCATAATGGCGGCAGATTTCCTTCACCTAAAGCAAATTAGTGAATGAGTTTTTATGACAATTAACAATGCTTGTCACGGTCACTGTTACCAAAACTAGCTTTCAATTCTGGACTCGAGGGATTGTGAAATTTGTTTACTGGACATGTCAAAATATCTTCTGCAGAATTTTAACTGCAATGAGTGCAGCTAGGGCACTGCAAGAGCGAAGGCACATGTTGCTTGTTTTCCCAATTACGAATCCAACTGCTGTGCGGACTTGCAACAAAGAAGGCGAAACCCTTCCGATTGACAACACATCACGTTAGCAAAGCTAAGAAGCTGCTCTATTAGTGGGGTGCCAATCACTCAGTGTACGGAACAGATAAGCTCCGAAGCATTGCCAACAGAATGACTGACAGGCTTGAAGACCAGTGTGAAAACAGAAGAGAAGGTACATGATTTCTCTGATGCAGCAAGGAGTCTGTTATAAAATGCACTGTGGGCACCATTCGGGCATTCAAATACAGCAAGGGAAGGGAGGGAAAACCACTTTGATCAGTTGTTGGTGTGTAGTGGCAGCAGCACTGCATCATGTCATTTATGAATGGATCCTTACAGAGTGGTGAGAATTATCTCTTAGCCACCTCCTCAGTGTCAGTGTGTGGGTTGAATTAGAATGGACTATGCTGTGGAGACTAATAAGAAGTACGGCACTGCTAACAATCAAACATGGATGAACTGATAGCTGTCATTAAACTACACGAATGAGGAAGGAATGAATTTACATTTATATTATGCCTTTCAAGTTGCTTTACCATAAGGAAGTCACTGTTAAATTAGTAGCCATGTTTCCTTATACACGAGTCCAAGCATTTTCAATGCTTCACTTTATCTCACATAGATATATCTGTTTTTGAATGCTCTGCCATCGCAGAGCTTTTCTCTGCACCATCTTCTGCATCCACATTTATGCATTTGCAAATGGTCTCTCCTCACCTTCAAAACTTATCGCTGTGACAACAGTTGTGGTCACGAGCTCCTGATCCCTTGTTGTGCTGTCATAGAGTCATACAGCACGGAAACAGACCCTTTGGCCCAACCAGTCCATGCTGACCATTATCCCAAACTAAACTAGTCCCACCTGCTTGCGCCTGGCCCATATCCCTCCAAACCTAAACTATTCATATACTTATCCAAATGTCTTTTAAATGTTGTAATTGTACCCACTTCTACCAATTCCTCAGGAAGTTCATTCCACATGCAAACCACCCTCTGTGTAAAAAATTTGCCCCACATGTCTTTTTTAATTCTCTCTCCGCTCACCTTAAAAATGTTCGCCCGGTCTTGAAATCCACCCACCCTAAGGAAAAGACAACTACCATTAACCCAATCTATACACATCAGGATTTTATAAACTTCTATAAGGTCGCCTCTCAACCTCCTACGCTCCAGTGCAAAAAGTCCAAACCTATCTAGCCTTTCTTTATAAGTCACACGCTCCATACTTGGCAACATCCTGATAAATCTCTCCTGAACACTCTCCAGCTTGATAACCTCCTTCCTATAACTCGGTGACCAGATTGGTGCTGTGTTTTGTGAGAAGCACAATATCAAAGCACATGATTGAGGACTGAAGGTTGGAGTCTTACTGAAGGGTTCAATTGACCTTCCAAACCCCCTCACCTTCTTGTTTCTGGTTGTTCTGAACCCCTTCAGGAGGCCCACAAGCTTGTTCCTGGTTAATGTACCACTCTTGATTTAATAAGCAAAATGGATATGAGTCACTAGGGAAGGCGACTGTCGTGCGACTCTCTGTGTGGAGTTTGCACATTCTCCCTGTGTCTGCGTGGGTTTCCTCCCACAGTCCAAAGATGTGCAGGTTAGATTGATTGGCCAGGCTAAATTGCTCTGTAGTGTCCAGGAATCTGCAGTGCAGGCTAGGTAAGTGGGAAATGCAGGGTTACAGGGATAGGGTGGTGGTGGGGTGGGATGTTCTTTGGAGGGTCAATGCAGACCCGATGGGCCAAATGGCCTGCTTCCACACTGAAGGGATTCTATGATCTCTCAATTGCTTAACAAGATCACCAATTACTCACGGTCTGTGACTGACACAACAATTTTCCTCATCATCTCAGCATCCTTGGCGTCTGTATTCTCTCGGTCCAACACTACTCCAGACGTGCGGATTTTCCCTGTGGTCCTGTTGATTCGGTAGAATGGATTGGGAGGGTTGATGGCATACATTACAGTACCATTCTCAGCCCGGTCTGGGTCAAAAGCTGACACCTGCAGAAAGGAGGCAAGTGACACTGTTGTCCAGTTTTACTCAATCAGAAAACAAGGTAGGGACAGGGGTAGAGAGTGCAGGGAGGGAGAGAAGAGAGAAGAGGGGAAGAGGGAAGTGAGTAGAGAAGGAGGAGGGAGACAGAGAACGGGATATGTTCAGACAGGGTGTGAAGGGTGGGGAGAAGGAGTTGGGAAAGAAGTTGAAGGGGTGGGCAGAGGACAGGAGAAACTAAGAGACAGAGAGAGTGGGGGAGGGAATGGAAATGAATAGAGTGTGGAAGGGGGAGGGAGCAAGAGAGTGGGGTTTAGGAGTGGGGGGGATTTTGAGAGAGAGCGGGACCAGGAAACAAAGAGACAAATGTTAAATATACAGCATAACAATGAAGAAAACTAGGAGAACTATACAAAGTAAAAACTGGAGCCAAATATCAGAACAAGTGAAAAATAAAACAGTGAAAAATTCACATAAACAGGGAAGTGATTGGCTTTTTTAAGGCAGATATAAGGAACAAAACAAATAGTAGAATTGCTTTAAGACTCCTTCATCTTGACCATTTTGATGATTGATATTAAATGGGTATTTTACTCACTTTTTTTTATTAAGTTGGTGCGTGTATTTAAAAAGAACAGTACATGAGATTGTAAACAGTAAAGTGGATCAAGACAATTGGGGTCCAAAGATCCCAAGAGAGGTTTGGGAGGAAACAATGAAACGTTGCTCATAGGAGCAGGAGGAGGTCATTTAAGATTTTGTGTCAGTTCTGCAGTTCAGAGAGATCCTGATTGGTCTATGACTGGACTCCATGTACTTGTCCTAGATTCATGTCCCTTGATGCTATGGGCTGACAGAAGCCTATCAATCCCAGATTCATCAAACTGATCTAATAATAACTGCAGAAGAAAGTTCCAAATTTCCACTATTCCTCACGTGTATGAGTGTTTCCTCACTACCACTCACTGAGGGTTTGAATCTTACTTTGTCAGGTGGTAAAATCTGAATTTAGTAAATATCTGGAATAAAAAGTGAACGTAAATGGTGACAATGTGGCTAGTGTTGTAAAAACCCATCTGATTCACTGATGCCCCTTTGGGAGAGAAATCTGCCAATCTTATCTGGTCTGGCCTACATGTGACTCCAGACCCACAGAAATGTGGATGGGTCTCCACTGCCTTCTGGGCAATAAATGCTGGTCTGACCAGTGATGTCCACATCCCATGAATGACCAAAAAAAGTCCCAAAAAGCCTGGTTCCAGTTTTAGACCACACTCCTTGCCTGAAGCTCCCTGCCTAGTGGGAATGATTTCTCTCAATCTCCCTTATCTGTTCTTTTAGTATCTTGAAAATGTTGATTAAATCACACCTTTACCCCTCTAACTTCCAGGGAACACATTCTAAATTTGTTCATTCTTTCCTTGTAATTAGTAGTAGGTACCTTTTTGATACATCAACATTACACTCCTTCCAAAGTCAATATGAGCCTTTCTTTTATTCATTTATAGGATGAGGGCATCACTGGCTAGGCCAGCATTTATTGCCCATCCTGAATTGCCCAGAGGGCAGTTAAGAGTAAACCGAATTGCTGTGTGCCTGGAGTCACACGTCGGCCAGACCAGATAAGGATGGCAGTTTCCTTCCCTCAAGGACATTAGCGAACCTGATGGGTTTTTCCAACAATTGATGATGGTCATCATTAGAATCTTAGTTCCAGCTTTGTACTAAATTCAAATTCTGCCATCTGCTGTGGCAGGATTAGAACCTGGGTCCCGGGATCGTTACCTGGGTCTCTGGATTAGCAGTCTAGGCCATCATTTCCCCCCATAGGTCTGTTGCCCAGAATGGCTTGCCGTACTGGTCATCCAAAAGGCTGACACCACAGTATGGCACTGGGACAGCTCTGGACTGACACTGGTGTCAACTTTGAGGTGAAACCCCAAGCTGCTGCCCTGCCTGCTGCTTCACTTGGATACTCAGAGGGAGGCTCCTTGTTGTATCCAATACCACTCAGCAAAAGGAAAGATGAACTGACCCTTTTAGCTCAGGATTAGTGGCGCCTTGCTATGCACTGAATCGTGGATGCACCTGTTTATCCAACAATGACAGTGTCTCAAAGCAATTAATCAATGATGGCAGCAAGGATAAGGAAAAGGGACTCACTGGGACATCGATAACTGCACTACTGACAGCTTATTTATAAATAGCATGAATAATGCAATATCAATAACAAAGGATCACTTTTAAGATATTGAGACCTTGTCAAATTCTGCATCTACAAGGCTCTTCTTCCTGAGAGGCATCACTGAAGAAATTAACCATCATAACTAATTTTCACTCTGTCGTAATAACCAGCTTGCTTTGTGACCACAAGGTGCAGGGCCGGATGAACACAGCAGGCCAAGCAGCATCATAGGAGCAGAGAGGCTGACGTTTCGGGCCTAGACCCTTCATCTCTGATTCAACTTGCTTTGTGACCACTTGTTTCACAAGACTACTCTAACCTTCTGTTTAATTGGTCTGCCCCAAGATTCATAGATCAGATTGCTCTAACAATGATGTGGACGTAATCAGAGATATGTTATGATACTTAATTGTTCAATTATCTTTTGTCTAGACAACACAGACTTCGCGGCTGTGTACATATTCACACACCACACTGACACGTAATCAATAATTCAGATGCTGGGATTTCTCACTGTAAGCCAAGCAGTGTATTTAAATCACATCTACCTAACATTCACGCGAACAAACTGATAGCATTTACAAAGCACTCATCTTGTAACATCCACTGAATCCTAATAAAAAAAACTGCTGTGCAATAAATCTCGTCTATGCTTCTGCACCAGGGGAAAATTAACAATCCATCAGGAAGCATGTTTACACACAAGGATGTAACACTTTTATTAGTAAAGCACGTTGTCACATTTCTCTGCCTCACAACACATGAATAAAGTCGGGTGACTCCTGCTTTATTGAGATGTAAAGCACAAAGTGGGAACTCACATCAGCAGCAGGAAGGTGAGTGTCCAACCCATTATTCTGTTTCAGATGGTTTTGACCGGGTAAGTAACACTGGTCAGGATACTGGGAGCTCTTGCAGCACCTCTTGCTGTACAGCTGAAGGACCTCCAATGGTGAACCAGCCTGAACAGCTGATTCAAAAGGATTACAGCTGTGTCAATGCAGCACCGACTCAGCTCTGATTGAGGTGCTGATGTCTTGAGAATGGGGTTTAAATCCACATCCTTCTGACTGAATGGTGTTGGTGTTGGACTGGGGTGGACAAAGTCAGAAGTTGCACCTCACCAGGTTATAGTTCAACGGGTTTATTTGAAACCACAAGCTTTCGGAGGGCTGCATGGAAGCAATTTCTTCACAAGTGGAGGAATTGCCTCATTTAATTCAAACCCTTCCATGGTCTGACTCCTGCCCAGGTTCACAATCTTCTCCAGCCATATAACCCTCTGATATCAATGCATTTCACCAATTCTGGTCTCTTGTAAATCTCCAATTTTATTCGCTATACAGTTGGGAGCCATACCTTCTGCTGACTGGGCACTAAGCTTTGGAACTCTTTTCATCTCCATCTCTCTCTCTCTCTCTCTTCAATTGAAACGCTCCTTCCACAAAGCTTCTTTTCGCTTCTTCTAAAGTCTCCTCACAAGACGTGCTATCAAACTTTATTTGATAATGCTTCTACGAACAAGAAACAAGAGTAGGCCACTCGACCCTTTGAGCCTGTTGTGCCATTCAATAAGATCATGCCTGATCTGGCTTTAACCTCAATGCTACATCCTTGCATATCCCCAACTATCTCTCATCTCCTTGGTCATCAAGAATCTATCTACCTCTGCCTTAAGGATATTTGAGGAAGGGAATTCTGAAGATTCACAGCCCTCTCAGAGAGGCTTCTTGGGGTATTTCACAACTGCTGAAGAAAGGCACATTTTATCAAAACTTTTTTCTCTTGTACTCATCAGGGCAATTCTCAAGAACACCAATGTAAAGGGAAAATATTTAGTATTGTAAGAGAAAGGCATTCTGATAGCAGGCAGGTGGACTTTGGCAGCATTTTGACTCAGTGGCAGCATCTGCATAGCAATGCTCTATCAATCACAATCACTTGCCAAACAATTAACACTCTCCTCTATACAGTATAAATTTAACTCTCCCTTCACGGTAGCATTCTTGCAAGTTGTCGTGGTGAGTGCAAGACAAAACACTTTGACAAAATGTGTCAATTTTCAACAATATTCCACTAGAAAAAGCAACATTTTACGTAATTAAATTGGCTATATAAGTGCAATATTTTGTGATGAGTGACCATGAATCCAACAGATCTACAGGTTATGAATGAAAAAGAACTCTGCTTAGCATTCAATAACACAGCCACGAGAATATTTATTTTCCATAGCAGTTCCTCAACTCCCACAAGCCGTACTGAGTACAAAAACAATGACTATCAGTGGCATTAACAACATAGGTGTAGGGCATGATTGTCCATTTTTGTGTCCATTTACTTTAAGGTGTAGAGTTACTACCAACCACAAGGGAACAAGCCACATTTGGCAATGGGAGGCAATGGCCCAGCGGTATTATCGCTGGACTGTTAATCCAGAGACCCAGATAACATTCTGGGGACCCAGGTTCAAATCCTGCCACGGCAGATGGTGGAAATTTGAATTCAATAAAATATCTGGAATTAAGGATCTAAAGATGACCGTGAATCCATTGTTGATTGTTGAGGAAAAACCCATCTGGTTCACTAATGTCCTTCAGGGAAGAAAACTGCCATCCTTACCTGGTCTGGCCTACATGTGACTCCAGGCACACAGCAATTCGGTTGACTCTTAAGTGCCCTCTGGGCAATTAGGGATGGACAATAAATGCTGGCCTAGCCAGCGACACCCTCATCCCGTGAATGAATAAAGAAAAAAAAATAAGCAGAAGGCAATGTCCTTGCAGTGATTGGAACAAGATTGGCCAGATAGAGCTTATTAAGTAGGAGTTCCCTGATTGGCCCAGTTTAACAACCCCAATCAGGGAGCCCTGACTGACAGATATAAGCAGGCATCTCAGAGAGTCTCCTCATTCTAGGGGCTGGCTCAGTGCAACCTGGTCAGAGTCCATGTACAGTATATGTGTAATTAATGGGTGACTTAGTGATGGAATACCAGACTCTGTGCAGTTATTTCAGTACTGTAACTTGAGGGAACATGAAACTCAATCCCCCTTTGGGACGACCTGCGGTGACATTCTTGACCTTCCCTTTACTGATGCCTATTTATCGCATTCTAAGATGAACAGGGTGACTTGCTGGCATTGAATTCCACCAGTGTTTTGAAAATCTCTTGAAGAACCCACTCACAATGTTGTGGGCACAAAGCAGCCAGAAGGAATCTTTACCCCACAGCTTTTGCTATGGCAGCTTATTTAAATTGGAAGCCAGGGGCAGACAGAGGTTGGTATGAGGTCAAGCAATGGAAGAGGCACACATAAAGCCATTATAGCATTGGAAGATGCTGAGAGTCTCATTCTGTCAATGTGCTGAATCTTATTGTGTACTGAACTGTAATTTCAGGGTCACTTTAGCCAACCAGCCCAACTACTGAAATATTCACATTGGAAAAATATGAAACCAAGGCCCACAGCCATGCAGCTGTGCTGGGGTTTCAGGGTCATAGGTGCACTCGAGCTGAAACATAGCAGTAACTTCACCGCATCCTTCCCAGAGCAGATTCAAACACCCGCACACTCATTGTGGGAAAGGTAAAATACTTACTGTGATAACATCTGTGTCAACTGGTGACATTTCGACCACATTGGCTAAGTATGGTTCATCCTTCCAAATAGGACGATTATCATTTATGTCAAGTAGAGTTATATTCACCTGAAACAGTTCACAAAATGCCTTAAGTTAGCAAAGTACGTTAATGAGACAATCCCTCAGTTATTCAACCCCTTATAAAAGCTACATTAAAGTCATTCTCTCTTGGTGAGGTAGGATTGGGTTATGGTTAGTGTTGGTCATTCTGGGACTTCTGTTGCAACTGTTCACTGCCTACTCCCAATTTTGTGCTTCGTCTCTGCCTGGTCATGCTTCCTTTCCCAAGACGGCGTTGCTGAACTGCAAGGGCGAGGGAGTGTCCTGTTTCTGGAGTCGCCAGTCTTTACCCTTGCATACAGCCACTGAGCAAGTCCCAACAGTGTGGTCTGTGGCTTCCTTAAGCCCAGTCCGCTACCTCATCAAAAGGAGCTCCAACTGATCAGCAATTTCCCAGTGCAGTTGTTTCAGATTTCACCAACAGTTTGTAGCCTGGTGACCCCGATTGCTGCAGAACATGCCCAATCTGTGTTCCATTGGTTTTCTGATGAAACGTGAGCTGAGACAGGGTGAAATGCCCTCTATCAGGTTACTCCCCAGGTTGTAAAGTTGAAAATGTCCGAGTTGCCATCCCAGTCTGATTTGTGGGACAGGCTTCACATCCTCTCGCTCCCTGATCTTTGGGTGCATAAATTCAACTAATTATCTGACATTGAACTAATGTTGCTGTAGGGCTAACTTTTGTCTTGCTCAATGTAATGATTGCAGCTGATGGAAATATCGGACAACTCAAATCCCAGAATGAATCCTGGCTGATAGACCAAATGTTTCATTTTTGCAGTTGGTCAATATGGTGGTTTGCCACTGAAACACAAGGCTGCAGACGTTCATTAACAACAGAAGTTTAGAACATAAAAGAAATAAACAAACAACATGATATACAGAAGACACTCAGAAAAATCTTTGCACTAACATCAAAACAAGTCTTTTTTAACTGACTGTTACAGAGACATAATCCCAGCGAAACATCATTCCTATCTCAGCTCCTTGATATCTTACACAATTGATGCTTTCTGGTTTGTTTCTCTTTGAAATGTGCAGACAATATTACGGGCTAAATTTTCCGTTTTTTTGGCTAAGTCCGAGTTGCGTTGTTTTTTTTTGGAGGGTTCCCGTCCACGAGGCTTAGTGTTCTGTCGCCGTATCTTATCAAATTCACCTCATTAATTTATAACCTCATCCCTGTAGCGTCTCTCACATCTGATTTCCGCCCCATCTTACCATGTGCTGCTCTGCGAACACCTTACCACTCATCATCGAGGTGAGACCTTCTGAAAAAAGGTCACTGGACCCAAAACGTTAACTCTGCTTTCTCTCCTCACAGGTGCTGTCAGACCTGCTGAATTTTCCCAGTGATCTGTTTTTGTTTCTGATTTCTGCAGTTCTTTGTTTTTTTTATGAAGCAAACTAGGCCTGTTTTCTCCTGAATTTAGAAGGTTAGGGAAAGATCTGATCAAAGTCTTCAAGATATTAATAGGAAAAGACAAGGTAGATCATGATAAACTATTTCCACTGGTTGGGGCTTCTTGAACTAAGGGGCATAGTCTGAGAATGAGGGCCAGACTGTTCAGGAGAGATGTGAGGAAGCACTTCTACATACAAAGGCTGGTAGATAGAAACACAAAAAATAGTTGCATGAGTGGGCCATTCGGCCCTTTGAGCCTGCACCATTCAATATGATCACGGCTAACCTTGCAATCTCAGTATCCCATTCCCGCTTTCTCTCCATACCCCTTGATCCCTTTAGCCACAAGGGCCATGTCATGCTCCCTTTTGAATATATCTAAAGAACTCGCCCAACAGCTTCCCATGGGAAGAGAATTCCATAGGTTCACAATTCTGAGTGAAGAAATTCTCCCTCAACTCAATCTTGAATGGTTTATCCATTATTCTTAGACTATGACCCCTAGTTCTGGACTTCCCTAACATGAGAAACATTCTTCTTGCATCTAACCTATCCAGCCCCATCAGGATTTTATGTTTCTATGAAAACCCCTTCGTTCTTCTAAATTCCAGTAAATACAAGCCCAATTGATCCAGCCTCTCTTCATACGTCAGAGTCAATACAGTGTGGAGCTGGAAGAACACAGCAGGCCAGGCAGCATCAGAGGAACAGGAAAGTTGATGTTTTGAGTCGGGACCCTTCATCAGGACTGGGGAGGGGGAAGGGAGCTGGGAAATAAATAGGGGCGGGGTGGGGCTGGGGTAAGGTAGGTGGGATAGCAATAGATGAATGTCGGTAGGGGTAGTGGGGATTGGTCAGTGGGAAGGATGGGGCGGATAGCTAGAGAAGAAGATAGACAAGGTTGTGTCAGGTCAAGGAGGCGGGGATTAGAGGCAGGGTTGGATGTGGGATGAGGCCTGGGGGGGTGGTGGGGAGATTGTAAAACTGGGAACTCTACATTCAGGCCATCAGGCTGTAGGTTCCCAAGGTGGAATATGGGGTGTTGTTGCTCCAGTTTCCATGTGGCATCATTTGTGGCACCGGAGAAGGCAGTCCTGTCATCCTGGAAATCAGTCAGGTAAACCTTTGCTGCCCTCCCTCAATAGCAAGAATGTCCTTCCTCAGAGTAGAGGGCAAAAACTGCACACAATACTCAAGGTGTGGTCTCACCAAGGCCCTGTATTACTGCAGCATGACATCCTTACTCTGATACTCAAATCCTCTCGCAATGAAGGCCAGCATGCCATTAGCTTTCCTTACCGCCTGCTGCACCTGCATGCCAAGCTTCAGCGACTTTTCCATCATGACACCCAGGTCTCATTGCACCTCTCCTTTTCCTAAACTGCCACCATTCAGATGTGATGTGGAGGAGCTGGTGTTGTACTGGGGTGGACAAGGTCAGAAATCTCATGACACCAGGTTATAATCTAACGGGTTTATTTGAAATTGCAAGCTTTCAGAACGCTGCTCCTTTGTCAGGTAAAGTGGAGGGAAGCGCACAGGCACAGAATTCTGCAGTCATGCGACTTCAGACTTTGACCACTCAGATAACAATGTTTGCATTATGATGTTTGGAAAACTCTTCCAAATGGCAGTGAATGCTGGATCAGTTGTTAATTTTAAATCTGAGGGAGATAGATTTTTGTTAAGCGTAGGTATTAAGGGATATGGGCCAAAGGCCGGTATATGAAGTTTGGCCACAGACCAGCCACGATCACATTGAATGGTAGAACAGGCTTGAGGGGCTGAATGGCCTACTCCTGTTTCTATGAAATGCTTCAAGGTGTATCTGGGTGATTTAATAAAATGCACACCTTACTTCCCTTCAATTGTGTTAAAAGTAGCAACAGCCATCAGCGACATGTCTGGTTTCCTTCTTGTTTATGGCTTTTAGTTTCTCAGGAGCATTTGTGTATCTGTCTACATCTGTCGGACTAGACAAAACACCCTTGAAAAGACCTTGTGATTGCTATCTCTTCGAAAGCCAAAAATCCTTCCATAGCCATTGCAGCAAAGTAATGCCCAGGCTCTGACTGATTGTATCAACCCTGAAGATCTCTCAAGCAGAGCAATCCATGACAGGAGAGCTTCTACAATATAATGACAGAAACCGATTGGATTCAAATGGTTTATCACTATCCTCAACAATGGTTCCTGTGACAACGAAGTTTAGTCAATTTCAGTGCTGCTCTTTCCGCAGCAGTTGTTGTGAACAAGAATGGAATACCTCGCACATCAGTTAAGAAGAAAACTGCCTGCAAACTTTGAGGGCTTTTGATGGGAGACAGTGGTGTAGTGGCAACGTCGCTGAGCCAGCAATCTAGTCCAATGCTCTCGGGATGGGGGTTTCAAATCCGACCACTGCAGCTGGTAGAATTTATATTGTTTAAGGGGTGGCATACCCAAAACAAAGATGAGGAGGAATTACTTCTGTATCCCCATAGCATGGTGGACCATTTTTCCTGAATAAATTTAAGGAGGAGATAGACAGAGTTTGAGTAGAGTTGGCTGAAGGGTGATGGAGAGCAGACAAGAAAAGTGGAATTGAGGCTGAGATGAGATCAACCATGATCGTAATGAATGGCAGAGCAGGCTCGAGGGGCTGAATGGCCTACTCCTGCTCCTGATTCTTATGCTTGGAGAAAACTTTGAAAGCACATGCATTAATCAGAGTGGAATGTTCCAGATTGTGGTGCGAAAGGTCAAACTACTCAAAGTTAAGTAAAACACACCCTATTTAAACACTATAGTTAAAACACAAACAAAAGAAAGAGGAATTTTGAATAACTTATCTATTGGAAAACTTAACTGAATAATGGATACAGTAACTATTACTAATTGACTGTTCCATTATAGTAACATCCCATAAACACACCTGATGGCAAAAAGGCAAATTCAGATACAAACTCTTACGTGCACATCTCCAATCCAGGAGGAAATAACATCAAGAGAAAGTTCAGAAAGAATAACAACCAACGGTCATTCACTGAAGCTTCCAACTCTTTTGAGACTTCAACGGTTTCTGCTGCTTAAAGCTAGAAAGCCTGGTCTGTGAGAGCTGGCCACACCCAGGCTGCTTCTATTGTTCCAACCTTTTCAAAAAAAGCCTCAAGGCCTCTCAAGTTGTTTACTCAAGTCACTTTCAGCAGCCAGTTCTACACCTCTGCCTTACAACCTCTCTTCAAAAAAACAAAACCAGGACAAACTTTTAAAATGACAGCACCACAACATTCAGCTGCCCTCACTTCATCGCAAAGGACGTACAGCTGTGTATTTAGCTGTGTATCCCCTTATCAACAAGAGGGAGATGGAAACAGTTGAGAAGAGTTTCTTTGTAAAGCAGAGACGAACTTTGAGGAAGGAAGTGATACAAAGGATTGTTTGACAACATTTTGTAAGGCACTGAGATAGACAGGTAATGTGGCTCTAAGCCAAGCACTTAATGCGGCCTACGAGGGCAGGATTATGGACACACTGATCAAATAAATAAGCTTCAAGCAAGATTTGAGGTGGAAAGCAGAATTTCTTTGCTGAGACGTGCATGAGTAGTGATGGATCCAGATAGAGCAGTCAGCTCTGTTCTGATATAAAATAAATTGTCATCTAAGTTCTGATGTAAAATTCCCAGTATAAAACAAAGGGAGCAGTTCTAAGGAGGTTACAGTAGCAGGGTGACAGTTTGATATGCACAAACCGTATCAGGGTAGCTTTGATTGAGAAAGCAGTTAATAAGGCTTATGGAATCCTGGGCTTTATAAATAGGAGCACACAGTAGAACAATAAGGAAGTTATGGCAAGAGATAGTAGGAACTGCAGATGCTGGAGAATCCAAGACAACAAGGTGCAGGGCTGGATGAACACAGCAGGCCAAGCAGCAT